GTCTTCTTCCTTTAACTTTATTTCTTTCTTCTTTTATTTTCTTTTTCAAAAAAATGAATAAAAAAAACATTAGAAGGAATTAATTATTAAAGTCATCAAGTGAAGGTTGTATAAAACAATTTTTTATAATACACATTCTCAGCCATTTTAAAGAAAGGGTGTTTTGTGAAATACCAATGGTCAAATCTGAAATACTACTATAATTTACATTGTGTCCTGCACACGCTTTGACAATTTTTTTTAGAATAACCGAATCTTTATTTGGTTGAACATACACTAACTTATCCTTTAAAAAATTACGTTTTACGCCAAATTTGGTTGGCTCTTTTTCAAATTTCTTTATTTTAAATCCTTTAATACTTTTAATAACCCCCGCTTTTCTTGAAACAAAGACCCATCTGGGAACTACAAACACTAGTCCCTCAGCTAATGCTAATAATGATATAAGAGGGGGAGTTTCTCTATTTGAAATAAAATAATAAGATGTGTCTTGAATTTCATTAGTTATTAGTAAAGAAGGAAGTTTGTTATTTATTTTTCTTCTATTTGAAGCTGAGATAGTTGGGTAACAAATACTAATTTTATCCTGGTTAACAACCACCTGTTGATTCTGTTTTTCTTCTCTTTTAATTGGAGGTTTTTCTTCTAAAACACAAGAATAATAATCATTTTCTTTATCCTGAATTTGGTTAATGGTTTTTTCTCTCATAAACTCTGTTTGGTTGCATTGATAAATTGGTTTCTCAGAACTTTCGGCATCTATACTCTCTTCTTCAAACACCATATCACTTACTTCAACTTGACTTATAGGGATATTCTTAATGATGTTCTCATACTCAAATACAATCTGTTGTTTTCTTTTTTCTTCTTCACTTTCAACAAAAACATTTTCTTTTTGTATGAATAGTCTTGGACCATAACTCTTCATTTAGTTCTTTTCAAGAACAATAGTCATTATTTTTATATCATTTTTCATTGTGATTAAATCATAATGATTTAGATTAGAGCAAAGTGATTTAACTTTTCTTATTCCTAATATTCTCAAAAAGACAATCTTAAGTTGTTTTTAAAAACAAATTAATTCAAAAAAAAAATAAATGAAATGATGAATAGAATAATCTTCCTATGATTTTATTTACAAAATGATAATATTATTTTAAATTCTTTAATACACGTTAATTTTATTATAGAATTTATTTTTATTATAACTATGTTATAATTTTTTTAGTATTAACATGATAAAAAATGATTGAAATGGAAATAAGTTAACCCATTGTTTAATCTTCAATTGTAACTTCAATAATTATAAAATTTTAATTGTTAAGTAAATATGATTAATAATTTATTACAAATATAATTATACATTTATTTTTCATTTTGTATTTATTTTATGAATATTAGTTACTTAATTAGTGATATATCATTTAATTACAATATTAATGATCATCTTTTCTTTGTAAACATATTTAATAAATATCATATACTATCTTCTTTTATGAAATAAATGATAATTGACATTTATGTTATTATTTACTATTATTTTATTACTGGTATGACATATATTTTCATATATCTATAACACCTTTTAAACGGTTCTTCATTGTTATTTAAAAATTAATGATTATTATAAAGTTAAGGAGTTAATAAATAAAATAAACAGAGATATTAAAGTATTAAATTCTATTCCTTCAATGCTATAAACTTTATCATTAAATAATAATTTTAAATGTTTTTATTAATAACAACTTCAACATGAATTTTTATGTTTATTTTATTAATAATTATTAATATAAAACAGTTATTACAACCAAAAAAGTTTTGAACGATTCTAAAATAAAATTATAGAAATTGTTCATTGTAGTTTATATTTAATACAAAAATAATTATAATTATTCTATCTACTGTATGAATAATATAAATATAACATCTGAATATTTTTATTTATTCTTACTAATTACCATTCATTCTATCAGTTGTACGTCATAGTTTAAATAGATTGAATCTTACAGACTACATCTTGATATATTTTATATCATTTACAAAAAATTAATTTATAAAAAATTTTTATTAATAGAGTGACAATGTAAAAAAAAAATAAAAATAAAAAGAAGAAACTGAAAAATTCAAAAAAAGTTCCTTAAGAAGTTTGAATTAAACAAATTCTCTTTTATTCACATATAAATCAACTCATTCGTAGTGGAAATTACAGAAGAACAACTTACATCTATGTTACGATTATTGACAATAATAGCTCTTATCATTATTGTTATTTATCACATGATTCCATCGAACGACAAAACTAGCTCAAAAGAAAAGAGTTCTTAAAGTACTTAATAACCCATTTTTTCAATTAAAATCTTTTTTCAATATTCCAATTTTGTTAAAGAAAACAAAAATAAGTCTTGTTCAGAGTTCAATTGACGTAACCGATTCTTCATCACTTTGAAATACCCTTTTATGAATTTCTATTTGATGAAAGTCTTTAAAGAAGGAAGCAATAATTGTTAATGAAAGAAATACCAATATCCAATTAAAGACGTTCTTTAATTCATTTGAATTAACAATAACTGTCATTAAACTAATAAAAACCAAATTAACAGAAACAACCATTCTTAAAGTTACATGAAAACCAAATAAAAAAGAGAGTTGTGATGGATGTTTTTGAATGATGTAGTGATACACAAAAATAAAGAAAATAAAGAATAACAATAAGTAGCTTAAAACATATTCATAGTTAAATACTATTTTAAACAAAAGAAATAACAAACTTAAAGAAAGAAGTAAATATTCAACAATAATTAATGGGTTAAGTTTTATAATATTCTGAACGTTTAAAATTAATATAAATCCTATTATATTTAATGCTAAAAGACAAAAATATGAAAATGTCATTAAATATCCTACTATACCTGTGAAATTTAATACTGAAAACATAGCTGTTTTATATAGTTTATTGGTATTTGGAACTATTGAACAACAACCACAGATAATACTAAAAACTACAACTAACCATTTACAAATTTGAAGAGACTTAATGGAACATATTCTTAAGGATAACATATTTTGGTTATTCAGTTCTTCTGACTTTGTAATAAAAAAAAAGTAATAAACAATCATTTACTTCTTTAATTTAACATCTACAGGCTTCTGATGAACTCCTCTTTTATTAATAAGTAAATTGAATATCTTACTTGTTGCTTTAATTTTTGAATACCCTTCAATATTTCCTTTTACATGTTTTCCTTTTGTAGAACAAAATCCATTTGCTAATCCCATTTTCTTTAAAATCTCATCTTCATCATCATTAATTGAAACAATCACATCTTTCTTTTCATTATCACAATTATAATGACTTACCTTATCAGAACAAAATTCTTTATTTCGTAATTCAAAACGTTCTTGATGTTGTTCATTACCTGGCAACCTCTCATGCCTTCTATGATGTGACCTACTTCTTGATCTTCTTCTATCATTTTCTTCACTAGTGCTATATGAATATTCATATCTATCCCTCCCCCTTCTCTCCATAGTATTGAGATTTATGAGTTGTTCAACAAAAATTATAAAGAAACAAAATATTTACTATTAATTAAAACTATATATTTCATGTCGATTAAAATCCATTGACACACCTTTTAATTCAAGACATTGCCTAACATAAGGATGAAGAAAAAATTCTTTCCATCCTATTCGTTCATTTTCTTCATGTGTAATCAATCGAATCATTAAATCTTTAAGAGGTTTTTCTATAATAATGGTATTAGGGAATTTTAATGAACTTCGTTTAGCCATTTCTTCAAAAAAACTTTCTTTTGAACATCCAAAAGGCCATGTTTTAGTTACTAAGTGATAGATAATAACTCCAACACTATATAAATCACTTTTAGAAGTATAATATCCTTCATGTCTTAATATTTCTGGTGCTTCAAATAATAATGTTCCTTTCTCACTAGCTATTTTATCGTCAAGAATAGCTCTACTAAATCCGTAATCAGTAATTTTAATTCTTGGAATCTCACCAGGAAGTAATGTACCATTTTTTGATTTTGTACATAACACAAAATTTTCTGGTTTTAAATCTCTATGAACCAATCCTTTTGTGAAATGAAGATAACGTAACCCAAGTGCAATATCACCTAAAAAATGTTTGATATAAATGTCAGGTAATAACCCAGGAAATTTCATAATAAATTCTTCTAAATTACCTCCGTCACAATATTCCATCACAAGATAACAATGGAGTTCTGGTGGTGAACTAAAAGAATTATCATTTAATGAACTTAAAGAATATGGTAATTCAAAATATCCTAGAAATGGAACAAGCTGTTGACATAAACAACACATCATTGTTCTTGCATCTTTTTGTAAAAACGTATTTTGTGGACCAAAACTTTCTTTTATAGCAACCTGTTCCCCAGTATATTTATTAACAGCAAGTAACACTGAACCAAATTGTCCTCTTCCTATAGTAGATATAATTGTATAATCATTGTTAGTATGTGGTAATTTAGTGTGTTGACGGCATAATCGTATTAATGGATGTCCTCTAATTGACTCAACTGAAGGTCTCTTAAAAGGAATATTAATACATTGACGTATTAAATCAACTGCCTCAACTGATTCAATATGTGATAACTCATTTGGTAAGATTATACCGTTTTCATCATGTTGAGGGATATAACCAGTGATCATTCTATATAATATCACGCCAAATGACCATGTACTAACTAATTCAGCCCGAATACCACTCATATAATCAACTGGTACAAATGGTAATTCTTCAATATCATCATATCCTTTATGAGGAATAAAAGCATAAGGAGATAATTTAGCTTGAGGAAATGGAGATGAAGGATTTCTACCTAAGAATATATTTTGAGGTATAAGATGAATATATGTCTGTCTAAATTCAATATATGCGTAATTCATTATTTTAACTAATTGATATGCAATTGTCATTACTTCATCAAAAAAGAATGGCTCATTTTTTTTCATATAACTAAATAACGTTGTGTTTGTTGAATATTCACAAATCATCCAATACTCTAATGTATTATATGGTGATGCAAAAAATCCACCACAACACTTTAATACATAAGGATGATCTTTCTCTCTTAAAGTAGGAATTTTAGACATAATTGTTTTATCATTATAAATATGTAATTGATTAATTTTTAGAATTTCAACTTTTGCTTGAATTGATGTGTTTAAACTTGAATGATTAATGTCTGTTTGAATTCTATAAATCATAAATTGACATAAATCACCATTATTCATTCTTCTTACTGCTCTATTAACAACAAGTTCTCCGTCTCTGTTAACATAAATCGGTGTCTGATCAAAATGAAATGAATCAATCACAGTTTTTGATGCAAGTTTCAATGACATGATTCTCTTCTTTTTTTCTTTTTTATTTTTTTCTTTTTTTAGAGAAACTTATTTGTTTTTAATTTTAGAAATTGATAAGAAATTATATTTTTACTATAATTAAATCATAAATCAAACTTTCCCGTTTTTATGGGTATATTTTTATATACAACAAGGAAATGTAAAGAACTTAAAAATAAAAAAACGTGAAAAGAAATGGATTAAAAATAGAATTTCAAGGAACTGAAACTCTAATTCAAAAGAAAAGAGATGCAAGCTGTCAAATGTGTCATTGTTGGAGATGGAGCTGTAGGAAAAACTTGTCTTTTAATTTCTTACACTACAAATGCATTTCCTAATGAATATATTCCAACAGTATTTGATAATTATTCTGCTACTGTTATGGTTGATTCAAAACCAATTAATCTTGGACTTTGGGATACT